GAGATCCGATTGTCTATTAAAAGTCCAGTGTACTGTGCTTCAGTTCGCTCTGCCCTACTGTACGGCTATGGAACATGGCCAATGCAGGTAGAATACATGATAGGGCTTCAGGTGTTTGATCACCGTTGCCTCCGTTGTGTAAACCATGTTTTTAAGAGTCACCACATGAAAAAAGCAGAGGTCAGGCATAGAGTTTTGAGGAGAAGAGGTAAGTCAGTTGATGTGGTTGCGAACCTTCATGGACTGAGATGCCTGGGACATGTGTCAAGTACGCCTAGTCGTCGTCTGCCTCGTCGCAAAATGTTGGTGGAAGTAGTTTCGGGCTGGAATAGGCTCAGGGTTGCCGGACTAAAACATGGCGTCAGTGCATGAAGTCCCTGACTGTTCGTTTGAGCCTTTTAGGGTGATGCAGAAAAGAGAAACCAGTGGTTGGATACTCTAGATGACATGACTGAGAACCGATGTCGGTGGCGCAGATGCATAAACACATTATCCTCACCTTAACCGCTTTACTTAATCTCATCTCGTTCCTCCTCCTCTCTTTTACTACTCTCCACTGCTTTTGACTGATTTTTCTTATTTTCTTCATCTTCCAATTCATTGCCTTGTTACTTGATGTACTGGTGAGATGTAGCGTCTTGAACCGTTACGCAGTAATACCTGGTCCTATATTGATCTCGGTGATGATGATGGCTCTCGTCACGTATAGGAAAGTATGCCTTTCTAGGAAGTCGTCTGTCAATGAATATCAGATAAATGTCATTTTTGCTTAAAATGATGTGGTTTTTGTGGTTCCCTCCGTTTGCTACGCTGACAATAGATCTATTTTTCTCCCCCCTCTTAAGCATGCTGACTGATTGTAAAACTTCAGGTTTTGCAACAATCTGTTTCATGTAAAAATCAGACCTTTCTTAACTACATTAGGACCATAAAAATCATTGAAGAAGGTCCTTTAGAACTTGTAGGCTATATTTAATTGTTATGTTACTATGTAAACGTTATCTGCACCACCAGACTCCAACTAGCAATGCCTTTTAGGTTTTTCATGCATATTTAGCTTGATGTTTCACGAAGTTGATTCAATCACCATTTTTATTCTCTTTATTTCAGGTTTCATATTTCCCTTAAACTAGAGGCATCTACAAAGCGTTTCAAAGCTTGAAATCATTTTTTATATTACAGGAGAGAGATATTAGTTTGATAAGTTGTAAAAACCTTCATGCTGCGATCATAGCAGGCATTTGATTCCTTCATACTATGCTTTTCAGTACATACCCTGCAGTCATTCTGATTTAGGATGAAGTTTTGTTTGTGTGGAAGCCACCTGTGATGAAGCTGATTTCTTCTTCTGTTTAAACAATAGTTGTTTAATTTCCTTCACAGGATATCCTGAGAGTTTCAAAAAGTTATAATTCAGGCAGGTCAGCTTACGTACAGTTCAACGTTTAATGTTAATTTAACCAACCCCATCTTTTCACTGATCAGGAGAACGTGATATAAACCCACTTTGTGCACAGTACACATGAGAAACCATATAGTGTAAAGCTTACCTTCATAAACCTATATTAAATAAATAAAGTTTAAAGTGGGAAGTATTCATTGAGTCTGGCCGATTGAAAAAATCAAAATGTAACCTTGCACATAAGTGGATCACCTCAAGTTGCCACACATCACTGTAGCAAACAAAGAACAGGTAGATAGAAAAAGTGTAATCAGGGTAAATAAAGTTGTATGCGATGATCAACAATGTGGAGACAAAGCTTAGTGCAAATATTCAAGCTTCAAAAGATATCAAGGAGTGAATATATCTGCGCCACCGTGATCGATTTTTAGCCATGTCATCAAAAGTCCTCAACCACTGAGTTCCTTAGTCTCGAGGACCACAAATAGACAGTCTACATCTCTTCACACGACTTTGACCAACATTCAGTGACGTCATCGAGTCTAACCTAGTCACGTTACCATGGTGAGCTTCATTGTGAACCAGTTTGATTTCAGCAAGTGCACTGTTAAAGTCGACCCGGCGGGAATCGTTGTCATAGAGATCCACATATGGGAAATCGGTGGTGCAGGTCTTCAAGGTGCGGACGGTCTAGCTAACAGTCAGGATTCCATACAGTATGCTAAGAGCAGCGCAACTGTTGGGTAAAGGAATCCGGCTTCCTAGTTCCATTAGTTACTATTGTAAAAGCAGTCCCTGAAGACCAGGGTATTTTATCTGGCGAAAGTGATAGATATTTGGTCCTGAATGCCAATATCGTTAGCTTCACCCATAATCGCATGTCAGTAACCCAGATAGAACCTCTATGATGAATCAGTATATTGGTATGGCAACTGTCTCTGGAAGGTGAGCTGCGCTTAGGTCCTCCAGAATCTGGAAACTCAATGAAATGCATCCCACAAACGGCTACCCACTGACAGGTGAGTTCTGTCGAAGAACCAGTTGTCCGACGAATGTGAAGGCGGTGAAGTCTAACAGTTGGAAGGGTTCTAGGATGACACTGATCAGTTTGAGCTAGCACAACGCGATGCAGGAGTGTTCGTTTTCTCGTGGAAGCATTGCTTGAAAGTTTCCTGTTTGAAGATCCACCAGATCTTGGAAAATAACGCTGCTTTCAAGCAAGGTACAGCCTGGAACTTGGGGCTGAGCCGAAAATGGGAGTAAAACTTTAGGTAAAAATACCGCAGTTAAATTATAACAAAGTAGCTATGAATTCCTTTAAGGTAGGTAAGTATCTTACCCTTTAATTAGTAACGCACATTTTTTGGGCTGCTTGATAAATACCAAGCCGGTGGCGCACATTTAGTTATCTTTACTTGAATAGCCTGCCAGTGATTCTGATGGCCCTGGTATTTTCAGTCGCCGCCTAAGAGCTTGAAAAATAACACACACTTATGCCGTATTACATGACTCTAGTCTTTACAAGACAGGGAGTCTAGTTGCACGACAAAGGACCTTTTCAACATTCCTGCTAACAAGCAGATATAGAAATACAAATAAACTCGTCGTCTTTCTGTCCAATAGCGGGGTTTCAAGATGAAGAAACCCACTAACTGTGTGTAACGGAGGAGCTTCCGAAGTACCTAACATTCAAGTTCTGGGCCTATCTTAAAATACTGCCTGATTTTTTATACGCAACTGAAACGTGCGGTGTATGCGATGCATGATGAAAGCTGTAGGGTATATGCTTGCCGTCTCCTCAAAGCGAAGTGTTAGTTGAACCGAGTTGGTCTTGCCTAGCTATATTTCTGCTGCCTGTTGGAGGCCAATGATGAAATCCACTCTGGTGGCTACACCAGCAGTCATATTCGAACACTCAGGACGATAAAACTTGTATCATCTCTCCTTGATGGGGATTGGAACTCCGGAAGCAGTCGCTAGTGAACTCCAAAACCTGGTCAATAGTCTACTGACCAGGGAAGTAGTGAGGATCGAAATGTCTAGGCGCTGTGGTTTAGCCGCGACGGGAAGTGGAGTTAGTACTAGTTAAGTTATGAGTGAGATAAGACTCGTATTACCTGGAAAACTCAGGCTGACTGCCATCCCTGCTATTTGGGTACCTTTTGGAACTTTGTACTTTAGGAGCTTCTCCATTGGTTGGAGTGGATTGGCAGTTGTGTGAACCATTTTCATGCATACTCGGTCAACCGAAAACCAGACTTGGTTGGGGAAGTTTAGCTGACCTAGAAACAGGTAAGGTTTGTGAAACCGCCATAGAAAATATTCTGAGAAAGTAAAAAAGGATTCTCTTTGGACAGAATCATTTCAGAATAAAAAAGTCGCCTTGGGAATGTAGAAATATTTTGAACAAAGAGACTAAAAGGACTGTGCGGAGTTCCCCAGTAACCTGTCGATTTAAAGTTAACCTGACTAGAAAGGACCATTCGATTAATAAGTTGCTGTTTTCATGGTTTCTTAGTCTACCAGATGCGTTGTCCTTTTAAATTTCGACCTATCATGAACCAAAATAAAGTAAATACTTGTTTACGTCCTTCATAATCTGTTACAAGTGCTTTTCTAGTAGTGTGAATAATACATATTCAGTTCGGAGTATTTTAAGGAACGAAAAACTTGCTTCAGTGCAGCTTATTGGGGGTAGATTGCATTGTGTAATACCTGAAACTTTAACCAGTGATAGGTATGAAATGATTTCATGTGCACCGGTTTTGTAAATTGCCTTTAAAAAATGGTACAATTCTTTTTTTCATTTTTGAGTAAATTACTTTGGCAGTTTTCTGTACTTTTATCAAAAAGAAAATCAAACAGCTTTGATCTAATAAATCGAATGCTGAATGAGCTGCATAAAAATGCAGATCACATCATATCATCGCAATATTTTGGTTTCCATAGGAAATTGTGATGAGATTTCTCCCCATTAGGATCATTTGCTTTCAAAACGATCATGCCAGTAGTGGGTTTTGAGGTTAACAGGGATTTTAATTTTGAGGTAGTATTCATAAGGGACAGATGGATATCCCAAAGTTCTTTTGGGAAGCCATGACCTGTAAGGCCAACCAGTCGCGGATGCCAACTGAAGACCTTGGATGAGATTCGTGCCATTTCGCGAAATGACAGAATTTGGAAGCTGTGAACCACTGGACTTCGACCTAGTGAAACCTGAAGGTCCCGAACTTGATCCGTAGCCGGATAATGGGTGTGTATTATTGAGGAGTCCTATACCTGGAAGAAACGGTTATGCAGTGCTTCGACGTTTCCAGTGATTCCACGACTGATATCAGTCTGTAGCGATTACTACCTCAAAATCTTACTAATCTTTTTATGCTACAGGTATGAATGCTATAGAAATCTCACTGAGTATTGTAGGATCTTAGGTCATTAACCTTAGTAATGTGATATTCTTATTTGGAAACAGATTGATACGGTAGGACGAGAAATTGAATGATATATCTAAGTAACTGATCAAACCAAAATGAGTTCCAAGACGTTTATTGTTTCTGTAACAAAGAATATATTTTACAGAATAGTACAAGTTACTTACCTTTCAAGTAACTGCAGTGGTAACATATGAACAGACTCGGCTTGATAAAAATTCATGTAATTCATTAAAGCTATATAAGATGCTTTGATACCAGATTTTTGTTGAGCGATTTCAAAATATCTCCTCATACTATCATGAAAATTAAGTTTAGTTGCTGAGTGGACTTTGTCATCTGCGAAGTGTCTGGGAGTTCTTTCCAAATTATCTGACGTATTTAACATACGTTTAGTATACTGAAGCCATCCAGAATGAAAGACTGAGTTAAGCATATTCGAATAGATTTTATAAGATTTCATTTTGCGGAAGTCTAACTGTTGACTTATTTGTTCATAGATGTGATCAAATAAACCACCCTGTTTGCTGAAATGATGATTTACTAATTCGTAAATGGACTGTAAGGTATTGTCACCGAACCTGCCGTCGTTTTGAACTGTACTGTTGATTTGCCAATTTTCAAGTCTTGTTTTTACTAAGTGCCTACCTTCTCGAAGAGCGTCTGTTAGTTCAACAGTCATTGCATGCTGACAAGCTAACTTCATGCGTTCAACATAATCAAGTTGTCGTTTTAATTCTTGTTCAGTAAATTCTTCAATCCAACGTGCTTCATTTTGTAGCTTCAAAATTGGACCGATCAAATGAATCTGATCTAAAGGTAATGTAGACACTGATGTTGTTGCTGCTGAAGACCGTCGTGAATTTCTTTCCATTTGACTGAAAGCTAAAGATTCTCGATTTAATTTTGGTAAGTACAACATATTGTCAAACACTGAAGATCTGCCTGAAGGTTGTAAGCTAAATATCAGAGAAACAGCCACACTGAATGTAAATAAAAAGGTATAAAATACACGGAATGCAAGGTGGGTAAACAAAAATATGCGTTTTAGCTTTGAGCTGTTTGTATTCCAGGCATTTTGATGTAACCAAGATGGATTTGATGAGAGTTTTCGATAAGTATTTTGGGATTCATTAACATGAAGATTAGAGTGCTTTGCTACAATGGTGGGATGATACAACATATGCCTACCTGGAGGAAATGCTTGAATATAGTCTTCACCTTTTCTTGATGTAGCGTAATACAGTGTATGATTATTTATTTTCACAGGAAATGGATGAAGTAGTAACTGGTGATATTGAAGTTCACTACCACACTGGTTATTATTGTTGTTTACGAATTTCTGATATCCAACTGAAATAGGATACCCTTTATTTGATATGATGAAATGCTTAATGCATACAAATATGATCAAAACTAAGAAATACAGCAAACCAATGCCAATGGTGATGAATAATAATGGACTATACATGGTCCATTCTGTTGACTCTACTGTTGTATTTCTATTCAAATGAATACCAACAATGGGAGTTTGAATATCATTATCATTAGACATTTCACTATCCATTTTGTTCTCTGTAAGCAGATTGTATATTCTTATAGTAACATTAGTATGACAATCTTGAACAATCACATCGAAGATTAATGTAGACTGAGATGACAACGGCAACAATAATTTATCATATGGAATCTCTTTAACAGACTGAAGATCTATCTCATAACTTAGTTGAAATTGTTCAAGCTTTGAAGAAGATTTCAAATAATTCTTGTTACTTTTATGTGAACTTAGTACAATGACATCGTGATTACTTATCACCAAATAGCCTGTTGTCCAAACAATCTTCAGATTAAGGTAGGCTGGTGTTCCGGTAACGTGACCTTTATAAAGAAAAACAATTAAAACTAGAAAGGTTTTCAATAAGCATCCATTTAAATATTTTAGTAAAAAAACTTGAAATGCATGCACCACAGAAAATATTGAGACGCTTTTAGAAGTATTTTGTTAGGATATCCACTTAAATAGATTCTTTCCAAGAGTATCTAGCGTAATCAGAGAAGAGAGAAAATACTTAGTCGTCTTTCGGACTCAACATGTTTTGATGTCACTGTGAGTAGAAACATTTTTTTAAAACTATTCATTTTTACAGCTGCCTACAAATTGTTTTGTCTCCTAAGTGAATATTTTAGGCAGAATATTCAACTGATTTATGAACAGTGGAAGGCATTATAAATGGTAACTTAAGTCTGTAAAGCAATTAAAGAACAAAATCTCTTGTACTATTCAAGACAGCCGAGACAACAACTACTCTACTGTTTACTCTGTTGAATTAAACAGATTCTGGTGATTTGAAAAAAAATGTTGTTTGAACCGATAGAATGGAAATTACTGACTGACAAAATCCATCTTGAAAGAGAAGGATGACTGTAAAGTGCCGAATTCCGTTAACAATGTGAATCGATAAATTTTCTAGCTAACAAGAAAGGTTTTACTTTCTTATACTTCAAAGTAACTTATTGCACTGATCAACGACTATTTGATTCGGTATAGAAGAATATTCTGAGTTAAGTGAATGTTTCAAAAAGATTGAAGCGTGAAATGCGGCTATAAATATTGCCATTTTGTTGCAATAAATTAGGTACGTTGAGTGGATTACGCATCACTTTACAGATGTTGGAAATGCTATGTAGTGAAAACCCCGAAGCATATTTTATGAGGCTGGAATAAAAATTAACCAGTTTACATGTCGGCTCTGATATATATCTGAATTTTTACATCATTTACAAGTGGAAGAAAACAATTTTCTTTTACAGCATCGTCAGTGCCCAATCGATGTAAGTTGTTTTGACAGTGACAGTGTTCTGTCGATACAACTTACTAGGGTTAAGCGAACCAAAGAGAAGAACACCAACAGAGTTTTGCTGTCTAAAAAGTTTATTCATGCATTACCTTATAACTATCATAGAAATTTTAAAATGTATCTGAATTCAAATTATTGAACCATCCTACATTTACCACTTTTTAACCGCTTCAGTGAAATGTCATCATATCACCGACTTTTATTTGTAGAAAAAGATGCAACTTTGATACTTTCTACATCTGGTTGTGTTAGGTTACCACTTGTGCGACTGCAATGTGTACAAATTTTCAATTTCTTTTGCTGCGACACCGATTTCCGATTAGATTTCCCTTCATTTTTTAGAAGTCTATAGATTAACTCATTAAAGAGAAAGGTTCATTCAGAAACCACATACTTTACTGCAAGAAATAATATGTTAATTTAACGAAGTTTTTTAAAATAAAACATCCCATTCTCATAAAGACAAATCCAGCGGTTTATTTGGCCTTCATTGAAAATATGGCTTTGTTATGAAGATAAAAGCACTCAGTAAATTATTTTTATTTCTCAGTTCAGAAATATCAGTATACTGTAATGATTAATTGAGTTTAGCTGGACATATTCTTAATGTAAGAGTTCCAATTAGGCACTGTGGTAGATTATAATTTCATCTTTGTTTAACATATGCACCACATAGTATGGCATGACTTTCCGGACGTGATATGTTGGTGATATTGACTTAAAAGTAATAACTTTGAGATGTCACTTATATAATGTTAATTTTCTCTTCTTCGTGATATGCATAGCAGAACGGGCTCCGAATCATTTTGATTTCATGTGGTAAGTGTTGGTTCGGTAAGCATAGATTCAGTTATTACTCTCTCCCTTTAAACCCATTCAAGTTACCTTCAATACTGTCGCTGCATCCCATCATATTGTGTAGTTTTATGTAACTGTTTGCATAGCTAAAACTGAGCTTTACTCTAAATTTTTCTTTGTAAGGGTCCAGCAATCTGGATTTAGCTAGCTTTTGTGCTTGTAAAGCCTAGTTGACCACTACGTACTATTTTTATCTGTGTATTTGACTTAACGATCATTGTATTGAATTCGGTGAACTGAACTATTTGTCTCACTGTATCAGTAGGATATTTAACGTACGGAGCTTATTTCTAATTGCATTTATGCATTTAAATGCCACTGTGATTCGAACAATATTGAGGATTCTTCATAGCATTTTTAGGTGCTCCCTTTGTCAAGTAACACTGACAAGCTTTTGAACTGTCTCTTCGACCCAGTTGGTTAACTGGAAACGATTTAGAGCATAGTGATTATTTGTCAAACAAACTGCCACTCATGCACATCCAAATGAAGTTAGGATTTGATAGTTTGAAAGTATTTGGGCATTTGGCAAACGATATTCACTGTTTTGGTATTAACCTTCCAAACAACCTTGTGTCATTTTTATTGACTAGGAAATACAAATAATAAAGTAACAAGTGCCTGTTTTTAAAGCCCGAAACCAGTTAAATACCAAATAATCCTTTTTAATCCTTGTAATGAAACAATGTTTATAGGTGGGGGTAAATAAGAGATTATTTCTTTATTACAAAAAGGGCATTAGAACTTTCGTATAGCTAAGGTCTCAATCAATCCAAGTACACGTTCGTGAGGGCTGTCATATAACTGTCTGACTTTTGTTTAGAGGTCACTTCCGTGACCATTTATATTTGTTTGTTTCTTATGGATTAGCACTCTTTCTTTAGTTCTCAGGAATGCAGGTGGAAATGTTCTTCATATTCATGTATAAAACTGTAGCTATCATTACTGTTAAAATCATCGACGTCAGTTTTTTTCACAGAAGCAGTTATCTTTTCAAACAGTCTCATCTTAAGGCAAACATATTCTGAGGGTTCAATCAGTTACAAAATGAGAATTTTCAAATAAAGCCTTCATGTCTCAAGATGTGGTCCAAAATCTCTGAAAATTACAGTGGCTAACAATTTCATAGAGTCAAGTTATTTAAAGGCTATTCACAATCGTGAGTAAAAGACATTATGTCATGTTATAGTTACAAAAAGATGATCAACTCATGACAGATATTGTTAAGTTACAGGTCACATGGAAGAAGTGCTACGGTGACATTTTACTAAAGGACTGACAAGGGTTTAAGGTTTCAGTCTATCGGTTGCGCCATGAGGCATTAAAAAAAATCAACATTCTTTGCCTGATAACCAACCAGGATTTTTTCAAAGATTCTACACTCTGTTTGCCTAAAAAGTCTAACTTTTTCAACCGAACGATACAAACAAAAAGCCGCGTAGATAAAGTCTCATAATACATCTAAAAACCAAAACAAGGAACACATTATTCAGTACCAACGTATCTAAAGTAAAAATAAGCAATATTCTGCATGAACACCCAACAAACGAATTATTAGTCAACGTTTCTCACCTTACTTTATTATCTTCCACTTGACCTTAAAAAGATTTTTCTTGCAAAAATATATACAGCTAGTAAAATGTCATAAGTAATCATTTTCCCTTGTTCTTCTCCATTTTAAGCAAAATCCACACTTGAATACAATAAGAATCTCTGAAACAAGTTTCTGAGACTGATGAATGAATAACCAATGTAACATACTGGCTATTGATTGAATGACAATAAAAGCAAATGCGTGTGGGAATACTATGTGCTGTCAAAAATCTGTCTGACATAGAATAACAAAGAAATTGTGATTTTCGTTCAGTCATGTTGTTTTTTGTTGCATACTACAATAGTTTTACTTAAGTTTGACTGGAAGGATTTTAAATGATTCAAATGGTTCGACAGACAAAAATGGAGACCAATGTGTGTTTGTCAAAATGATTACGTGGAAAACCTTTTACAAAAGTAGTCATATGAATGATGTACATAAATATCAAGGAATTCGTGTCATATTTACAGTCAATTAAATAAACTTACTGATTTTAAAGAGAAAAAAAATCATCTAATGACGATAAAAAAAATCCATGATCACTTTACTGGGGTGACGACATCAGCTGAAAGTATGTACATTGAAGACCCAAAGATACAACGAATACGTTGTATTATTGATGTAATGGATAAGAGAAAAGGATATGAGTCATCTAAAAATCTTCGTTATGGCATATTCAGAAATAATATGTAGATTGAAAAGCTCGATAGGGGCGCTGTTCTTAGTGACTCAATGAACAATGATATTTTGTAATACATTATGGTCGTGTGAGCGACAGCTGGAGGTTCAAAAACGAAAAGTAGCTACTAACTTGCTTCATAAAACAAATCCAAGGGTGTATTACTTCAGATGAAGCGTGAATTGTTTGTCTTTGTACTTGGTCAGATCATGATTCTTGCTTATTAGATTAGTCTACTTGATACAGTATCATTTACCAGAAGACGTTTTGAGCAGAATTTACTCCTCGTAATCATGTCACATGAGCAAATAATTCTGCTTGAAACGTCCTCTAACAAATAATACCACATCACTGTCCACCACATCAAAAAGACTAGTCAAATGTGGGGTTGCATTCTATCACAATGTCTAAATTCTTCACTTACATCAAGATTTGTACACTTAACTAGCTTAATGTGTGATGTTAATGTTAAGTGAAAAGGATCAAACTAATGTACCAAAAGGTTATTGATCCTTCTCAAAAAGTATCTTTTTTTGAATTACACATGTTGTCTGGATAAGAGAAGAACAGTAGCGGAATCAATATGCATCTATTTCGTGAGTTCTATTTAGCTGCTCTATAATCTTTTGGAATAGGATGTTTATGATTCAAGGTAAAGTATACAATGTACTTTCATAAATTTTACAGAGATGTCTTGATTGAGCTGGAAGGCAACAAACATGTGGGCTTAGCAGAAATAATGAAGTTTGATGAAGTTGTAGTTGTTGTTAATTACTAACTTGATGGTGGAATGAAACAGCCAAGGTTGGGTTTCATTTATTTGTTGTTTACTTTAAGGATTTTAATAAATTAACATTACGTCCAGTACCAAGTAAGTGCCAATTCATCA